CCGTAGAAATGGTAATGCATTTGCACTTCCCGCCAAACATCGCTGCCTTGCGGTTAGGCTTTTGAGCCAAAGGCTTTGGTTGAGGACCCTAATCCTCCTGCTGTCTAGGTGTGGGCGCCCTGGCAGTATCCCAGCCCACGTACAACCATGAAGTGCGGCAGTGAAGCACCGGTGTTGAACACTGATGTCATGCTGTCGATGATGATGATTAGATGATCCAAAAACTTGGGGGAAGATCACAGAAAGCCGCCGCTCTGTAACTTTCTTCTGGTTTGATGATGCGTACTTCCAAGTTTCAGGCCCACAAGGTCTCTTGTTATGACGACAATCTGGAGGGTTAGTTCGTCTAGTGGGTTGGCCGAAAGTAACGGTGTATGGTTTACGTTGCCGGTATCATATTCCCCGAAGGCTGTTCGCCCCGGTGTATTGGCTGCAAGAAGCCGGGGCCCTCGTTCTCCGGGCTGATTCGAGCACACTGGCCTTGTTTTGGGGTGACTACAGTCGATCACAAAAGCCTAAGATATCTTTTTGGACACATGGGTTGGGATCAACACAACCACTGCAGTAGGAGACCGCAACTGTAGCTAGCGGTGATGCCGCAGATGGGCCTCAGGTTTCTTGGTATCGCTTCGCAGTTTGGCTGTTCAGACTCGTTAGAAACGAACTAATCAGCGTACGCAGTCAGATGACGTACGCTGTTACTTCTGTGTACTTCTAGGCCATGCGCGCCACACAGTTGAGCTTCTCCTGAACTTAGTCTGCTGACATGTGCGTTGCAGTTCCCTCCTGGAATGACTATGTCTGAGTCCAGTGCTATCCGCACAACTGCGGACTCAAGGGGCGCTGAAAAACAGGCTGTTTTTCGTCTCTTTGACGGGACTTTTTTCATGACCTTGCTGGTCCGATTGCACAAAGTTGGCTGGTATGTAGTAGAATAGTGGAACCGGTGTAGTAACCTACTGCGATGCGCATGGGCGAGATGGCCGAAGTGGTTAGAGCGCGAGTTTACTAACCGTGGTTCGAATCCGACCTCCGCCACTCGACTTCCCCTGTCTAGGCTTGGGCAACCTGGCAGTATCCCAGCCCTCATGCTCCCTTCGGGTGGCATGGCAGCTAGGCACCGGAAGGGTGCTTCAGCTGAACGCTTTCTTTCTTTCTTTCTTCTTTCCACCCGGTTGTGTGAAAAGAACGCTTCAAGGAAGCCGGTCGACTGGTATATGGAGCACGTAGCCAGGCCAGCCCAACCTATGCAGTGAGATTAGTTCATTTATCATTCATCCATCGTTTGTTCAGTGCATGATATACTAGCTTCTCAAGTGTCGATTTTCATTGTCGATTTCATTGGACACCCTGGAATATTGATTAATGGGCACCACCATTGACTTCTTAATCTCGAGCTGGATACAGCTCGGAGGTCGAAAATCCAGCTCTTGTTATGAGATCTGTGGTGGGACTCCATGCCGAGCTCTCCGATTGCGTGTATCTAGTCCTTGCAATTCCGAAGGCGTCCGGATTCCCAGGATCCCTTCGAGTCGCATTGTAGCTGTGCCGCAAAAAGGCTGAACAGTTTTTAGTGATTAGAGAAAATAGATCATCATCACCACGCGACGGCCGATGTGGCATTAGTTTATTTTTGTATGTGCAATTCATGGTTGTACGTGGGCTGGGATACTGCCAGGGCGCCCACACCTAGACAGGAGGACGATTAGGGTCCTCAGTCAAAGCCTTTGGCTCAAAAGCCTAACCGCAAGGCAGCGGTGTTTGGTGGGAAATGCAAATGCATTACCGTTTCTACGGAACAAGTCGCCACATGTTCCAACCCCCAACCTGGATGGCCAGGAGACTGTGTTCGTCAGACCTCTAACCATTGACCAACCTGGTATGAGAGACTCTGTGAGTGTCGCGGGACACTCTCCAGTATAGCTCAATGGATCGCTGAGGTGCGCAAACCGTCACACCACGGTAAGGTCCAGTCTCTTCGTGACGGTGGTGGTGTTCAGTTCAAAATAAAGACCCACTACTGAAATCACCATAGTTCAATTTTGGCCTTGCGCAAGCTGGAGTCCCATGCATACTGGACTGTTTGGTCAGGTGCTGAAGTAATGGTTGCTAAATCAGGGATCGAGGTTAGTTCGTTTGAGATTTTGTTAAAACTTATATCTACCATTTGGTAGATGTACACCATTGTTCCACTCGAAAAAAGGTTGGATAAAAAAGGAAAGTCTGTGAATTGAATTCGCCCCTGCCGAAGTTGGGCTCATCATCATGAATAGCACCTCTCTGTTCAGCACTGATGCTTCGTTGTCGTGCAAAAATCTAGTTGAAAGCCTTGTGAAAACAAGGATAAAAAGGACGAGAAAGGAGCCTGATGCTATCCTACTAAGTCACTCCGAATCCGAGTTAACTACC